AGTTGACCGAGAGAGAGTCGAAGAATTATGATTACTTTGTATAATAATCGTTACTTCGAACTAGTCGTGAGATTACACATTTAATGCTGGTATAAAGATAATTATGATGATGATGATGATAATGATGATGATGATGATGATGATGATGATGATGATGATGATGATAACAATGATGATAATGTAAATGCAGATGTATAATGATGATAATAAAAGAATGAAAGTGTGAATGATTGGAAACGATATGGATGATAAATGCGAGGCGAGATATATAACGTTTGAAAGAAATTACGATTTACAAATTCAATATGAAGATGCTAATTCTAACAATTTGTTGATGTGTAGATAATGTAGATAATAAATGTAAATATATATATATATATATGTATATATATATATATACTATGATCGTGTTGCAATGATTGATTTTGACGGTATAGGTAGAGAGAATTCTTTACGGAACGCTGTGTAGCTCATCATGTGCATAATGCAGACATTTATTGAATCAAGAAATGTACGTGACATACATGTTATTTACATGTTATTTACATGGATACACATGAGGATTAATACACAGATTACGGGAAGTGTGCTCTCGCTCAACCGAATATAAATAATCCATGATCTGAGAAAAAAATGTAGTTTTAGAGAAAGAGATACCTCGAACTGATCTTATGATTAGGAGAGGAACGAGAAGTCGAACGAGAAATCAATGATATGCGGATTAACTTGCGTATTCGCGATCTTGTCGTCAGTAAATTAGTAAATGTGCTTTCGAGTCACGAGTGATCACAACGAACACACATGCCTGTGCCTGCTTCGCTCTCTTTGTCTCCCTCCGCCAAGTGTACTCGCGATCTGAAACGAGTATCTCGAGCGTGAAAATCCATCTTACTACCAGCGTACGAATTCCCTGATGCAAACGATCAATCATTCTAGATAATACATCCGATGAAGAATTATCGCGTTCTACTCGCGTTACGATGCTCTTTTAGACCTAGTCCAACTTTGTACGACTGTATACACACAATCACATATTGTCCGAGCTTATAATCTCTATTGCACGAGCGTCGCCGGATTGAAAACAAATGTGTGCATCGCCCATTTCTATCCAGCGCGCTTCGACGATTTGCAAAGAGAAAGTGAGAATAAAATCTTGTATACGCGCAAAGTGAGTGATTCTCAAGCATGAAAAAAGAAAAGAGAAAATGCGCAAAAATATTTTATCAGTTTCGATATTGTGCGAGACTGAATGGAATTTTTCTAATATATTAAGTTACAAATATTGTGTTGAGTTGCAATCATTTGAGAAGGCCCACTTCGGCGCATGCCAGATGACTCACGAACGTAACAACTTTGAATGAATCACATATTTTATACCACATAGACCTAATGACGACACCGCCATATATTTCTCTCTTTTTCCCCGTAATTACTCTAGACACAATTTCTACTCCATGCGTTGTATTATTTCTATATATGATTACAGATCCTCGTAATCTTAATAAAGGCGTTCCTCTGCAAGTTGATTACTGATCAGCAGGGCCGCATACGACGACCAAGAGTGCATATTATACTAACGACAACATAACACGCGAGCACAATAAAACAGAAAACTTTTGATCTACCTTTACCTCTTTCTCACACGTGACACACGATCTTTTTCTGCCGATGTAACATCATCGGAGAACGACTAAACGTTCGAAAGACTGAACAGTCGATTCAAGATATCCTGGGAAAATGAGACTCAAGTGTTCGCGCACTGGTTATAAGACGCACTAAAAAAAAAGAAAGAAAAGGAGTAAGAAGCGCGTGATCAAAACTGTTAACTAGGCAGAGTGTGACACTTAATGAGGCTTTGAAACTGACACAGTTTCAATGAGTTTAATTTTCCACGTGATGCGAAACTGACATGATGTAGACGTTACAAGATAGACTTTGCTAAATCTCATAACTTATCACGAGTGAACATAGAGTCCGTTTTCGGATGCATGTAGTATGAAATCTTAGCAAAATCCTAGTTTATCGGGATTGTTTCTCGATCCCACGATGTCGACGAAGCACAAACAAAGTATCAAGTCAACATGCAGCACTGGCTTTATTAGGATAGTAGTCTCGAATTTGTACATTCAATGCGACACATAGTAACACGTTGCGTACGATTAGCGTTGCTTAGAGCATAAATTAGATTAGGCGTAATCATGTGATATTAAGTAAAAAAAAAAGAAAAAAAAAGAATGCGTTCCTAGATGATTTATCGAATCGCTTTAATAGTACCACATGATTGCACATGCGACGTCGTCATCTACACTACATACACATACACCATACCATATTTCGAGATAGAGGTCTTTCCGCTTTCTTGATCCGCGAAGCGTGCGTGCGATAGCGGGAACATTGCTCGAGGAACAAACGGATTTGAAATCCACGATTAGAAATAATAGCATCATGTATGAGAAAGAGCGAAGTACGTGCATCCGACAGGAAACGATAATGATAAATCAAATGAAGAGAAAAGAAGTACTCATGACCCTCGCCTTAATGTGAAAAAAAATCAAGATGTCAATGTGCACTGTAATGAAAATAAAATACTTAACTTTATGTCTGGGAAACGAGCTTTTTGTTGGTTCTTTATTTTTCTTCGTTTCGTCATTTGCACTTCTTGTGTGTCTTTTGTTGTCGTTTAATAATTATTCACATATATAAGAACATATAACAATATAATTAAACGAAGAGGGTCAGATTTAGGCACCTAATGATTAAACAAATTGAACTAAAAATGGTAAAATTCATACAAAAATATCATTTATAAGCACTAAGACCTGCTTTGACCGAATATAGTCTTTGCTTAATTGCGTTGAACATTTCTCAGTCAATTTTCACTTACTATTCATTATATAATGTATGTGCGATCTTTCGATTGGCCAACACCTCGAAGAAAGTTCGATAAATTTATATTATGTTTTAGCATCGTATCGTGAAGGTTTTGCAATATAAAGATATCTATAAGATTATTAATTTACGCCTAGAGAGGTATTACGGATAATGTTTGCTAATTAATAGTTACATCTCTATGCGTAATAGTATGCCAGTCTTCTTGCGCGCGCGCACACACACACACACACACACACACATCAGTATCGTACATCACCGTATGTTAATGCGAATGGCGCTCCTCGCTATCATCTGAGTGAGATTTGCTTTTCTTCTTCCACAAAGCGTATCGTTCTGTATCGAATGTAGGAGTACATGGCAGATACAGATTATCTAGAATATTTCAAAGCGGAAAAAACACGCGGTACTGCCTCTGTAGAAGTAAACTAAAATGTATCCAGTGGCGGATTACTCATTAGATGTAATAAATGTTTCACAGTTTTACATAAATAATTGAAATTAATTATACAATTGATAGACTAATATTCGTGATACATATACATATTTAAATATTAGATATTTAAATTGTTCCTGTAGTAATAACATACATTTTTAAATAATACGTTGATTATACATATAACATGTTGGATAATTTTTTAATTCATTTGTTTAGAACAACGTTTTGAGAGCCTCGAAATGTTCCAATCCGCCACTGAACGTAAGAAATGGAACTAGAAAAAAAATATCCCTGCTGTAACGAACGATTTCCTGTTGTATATAAGTATGGACATTTCGTCCTGCGCACGTTTAAGACACTTCCTGTGAAACTATTTCAAGAAATCGTTAAATTAACTATCATGATTATGCAATTTTTGGCACATTGTATATTTTTCGATAACAGAAGATACAGCTCTTACATTAACAGCGTGATGAACTTAAGAGCCTGAGAGAAATGCCATCATCCACTGTACACATCCAATTTACGGATGTGTTTACAATGAACTTTTTACAATAAGCGTTATAAATATTTTGGAGTTGGAACACAACCAATGTTTCACTCGGAAATAAAATGAAAAATTATTACACATTCTAATACTGAACACGTGCTTCTCTATATTCAAATCGCAGAACGTTAATGGTTGTTTTAAGATTAAGTCTGAAGATTAAGAATATGCAGGGATATGCAGGGTATTCCATTTCACTCGTGTCAATTCTTAACAATCAATTCTTATGAATGAAAAATTGATTTTTTTCTTGAAAATGATTAATGAATGATTTTATTGCGAAAATATACATTAAAAAATTTTTTGGCTCGCGTAATCCAGCAAACGAGAATGAATTGAAATAAATTGAAACAAATTCAGATTTTCAGAAATATTGATTCACGAATGTTAAAATGAATGTTTTTCCAATTCTAAATTTTTATTCTAAATTTATAGGAATTGTATGGAGCATATCTCTATGCCTTTCAATCTAAAAATAATATTAGCTTTTTCTATGCATTGTGAATACTGCTCAATTTAAAATTTTGAATAGGAAAGCAATCCAATTGCATCTAATTGAATCCAATTGAATCCAATTAAATCTAAAAAAAAATATTTGCTATTTAAAACACGTATTCAGATAGAAAAAAATTTCAATCCATTCTCGTTTGCTGGGACATGTACAAACAGATGATAAAAATCTTGTTCAGTCTGGATATATATTTTAATTTATAAAGTATCAATATAATTTTTCCTTATGGCGAAAACGTGAAAAGTGAAAATTTTATTTCCCAAGGGAAAAATTATATAATGCTGGATATTTGGGATGCATTCTGTTATTCACTACGAGTACTGAAAAGCTATAATTACTATAATCTATAATTATTATATTATAGATTTTCAGTATTTCCAGTGAACAAAATACAGCCTTAATATCATAAAAAATATAATCAATAAATCAAATTCATGATATTTTTATCATAAAAATATTATTTATACTTATATTTTCTTTTAAAAAATGAGATATTTCCATATAAATAGATGTTAGTTAAAAAGAGACAAAGGAAGGTTGTGTGAATATTAATAAGTTGGAATTGCAAGAATGATGGAACACTCTACATATATTGCTCTAAATCCATAATTGAGTACATGTAGTCTGTGTATATAAAAATTCATAAATGAGAGTTAGCGAGAGTTCACGCTAAAAATCGTACGCTCGGTACTGTTATAATATGTACCTGCGCATACATACGTAGTCGATATTAGCGAACTGAATGTAAAAAAAAGAGAGAGATTTGAAGAGAAGAAGAGAGACAAAAACTCAAGCAAGCAGCACAAGGAGACACATACCTTTGGTGTACACAATTGTCAATTAGATTCAGACTGACTGCAGGGATTTGAACACGCATAAACAGTTCGATGTTCTTCGATGTTTAGCTAGATAAAGTTGTCGTCGTCGTCGTCGTCGTCGTCCTCGTTAATGAGCACGTTATTGAGAACACGAATCGACGCATTTAACTCGGGCCAGTGGCGATAAATGTGAAGCGATTAGCGGCTAACGGGACCCATTTGACATAATGAAAAAAAATATTCTAATATATATACAGATATATATATATTATCAGAAAGAGAAAGAGGGAGAGTAGGATATCAGAATTCGTTTGAGGTAAGAGATGTTGATCTTAACTAAGGGAGTCATCGCACAAGCCACTTTGGTCTCGCTACGGAACCATACAATTAACACTGTGTATGCTACGTTATTGATGTGCAATCTATTCTACATTTACGCAGCTACCTGTAAACGGAAGAGATGTCCGTAGTTCCTCGCCGTGAAATTCTGAATGTTTTCGACTGATGCTTTTGGGAAAAAAAATTTTTAATTGTGTTTGCTTTGCGCTGTCGTGTAAGCAGCTATCGCCAAAAGTTAATTAAAGTTAACTGAGATCTAATTGGCTGTCTCTTTCGCTCTTTCTCTCTTTTCCTCTGTCTTCGAAAAGAGGCAGAGCATTGGTTTGAATATCAGTTAACTTTGATTAATATTTAGGGAAATGATCCCCTGTTGCATAAATGTTTGATCGGCTGTTAATGTAGACAGGTATCTGTAGAACTGTTATTACATGATCAAGAAGTCATTTTCAGTACGAAAATCTGGATAATTGATGTGACATTTGTAGCGATTTCTGTGTTGAAGAAAAAAATCAATTCTAGTAATAGCTAGCTAGCGCAACGAAATTCTGTTGTAACCAGAGATATAGGCAGAACAGAGATTTTATTGAACTCAATGGCAAGATGTTCCAATATGCGAGCATTTCGATGTAAGAAAATTTGCAGTACAACAATATTAACTCAGAGATTCGACGCGGGGCGTTGTAACGAGATCTCACTGTATGTTATGAAAAAGCGACATGCTCTCGGCGATTAGCAGCTATACTAAAAATAAATCCAGTTTGCGAAACAAAGGAAATCGGACGATATTGTAAATTTATGCGATATATCCGCTGAAAAACTATTGCGCCAATTGTACATATGTATTTCAATCTGATAGCATGTCTCCTACAGACAACAATAGTAATCCAAATAATTTGCGTCGGGTTGTAAAAAGAAAGAGTCCAGGCATTCCTTTCATCAGTCAATTGTTCCAGCAGAACGTATTAAACAACACACGTTCAAGACATCCATTACAAATGCTGGCGAAACTAAGAAAGCGCATGTATCTGGCAAAAGCAGTCTAGACTTCTTTGGTATGTTTTATTTAAATGAATTAAGCGCAGAAACAATAGCGATCTTTTTCTTTGTATCCCTATGGCGCCGAGAAAATTCGCATATAATCAGATTCAGGATAGATATTTATGATATAAAAAGAGACAAAAAAAAAGAAAAATGAAAAATATTTAACAAGTCTGATTATGTCAACCCTTTTATTTCCCATTTCCAACATCTCACAAGTCGTCCTTGCTTATCTTTAAGATTGTAGAAATACTTGCTCTCTTACAGATAATTAATTTTATTCTTAGTGCTAATTGAATACATTTTAATGTGGTAAAACTTTATATAATATATAATAATTAAAAGTATCTCAATATATAAAAACAGACGCTAAATGATACATATCAAATAAATATTCAGTATTAACAAATGGTAAATATTATTTCACATTTATGTACATCTTATTATTATTTATACAATATTAATTTCATAAATCATCATTAAACAATCTTAATAAATAGATAAAAAGTTAATATCTTATCATTAATAGATATTATATTCTTATTTATTTTATTTGTAAATATCTGATGTAATTTAGATGTTGTAATAATTCATAATAGGATTAATGTAATATATTCAATATCCACTATACGAAAGAAACAATAATAATAGCAATAAAAAGTATAAGTATCACTATCCAATAACCACATGTACGATCTTTGGAATTAATATTACGAACCTGTTGAGTCTTGTTAATCAAAGATTCATCAGTCCTATCCATATGATCAGCCAGATCATCAATTATTTCTACATTACAATACAATTTTAAAAAGTTATTTTTATATTATATCATCTAAATATAATCTTTTTTATACTACTCACCATTTTGGTGATCCACTTCATTACTAATTGTTTGTCCAATTTCTTTTTGGCGAGCTATCACTTTACATAACTCCTCTAAGCCTTTATCTTGTTCTACGAGAAATTAGAATAATGCACAGTGTACTTACTAATATTTCTACAGGAAATTAAAATTATATATATATATTAATTTCTTCTTTAAGAATTATTATGTACCTATCAATACTCGTTCTTGATGACTCATAAGATCATTAACAGATACTTGAATATTTAATGGCTTGTCATCATCATCGTCAGCAGCCCAAGAAGTTGTGCCTCCATCAGCGAAAGCTGATGAACCTGCCCTTAATAAGCTAGTGCGCGACGACATATAATCATTTGTACGTGGCTCATATAATTTTTGTAATTGAATGTCTTTGCTTTGCAACTGTTCCACTTGCCTCGTCCGACGTTCAGCTTCCTCAAATGTTCTGTCACACAGATGATATATTAAACAACTCATTATTTTAGAATTATTATTTTGAAGTTTAAACTAATGCTACAAAATATATAAACAAATATAAATAGAAAAATACATTGTTTTTAATTTAGAAGCTTCTTCCACTTTGCATTTTAATTGCTGAACTTCCCGTGTATATTGCTTCATACGCAATCTTATATTGGCTGACAAACTGGCATAAATTTTTGATGTCTTTGGTTCTCCATCACGCATAGTGAGCTGTTCCATAATTTCACGGAACAGTTTCTCACATGCGTCATATTCCGTAAGCCTAATCAGTATAGTCAGGTCTCAATCAATTTCTTTGTAAGTAGTATATTATATAATTAAATTACAATAATTAATAACTATTAATTCAAATAAAAGAAATAATTTCATTGCTTGAACAATAATAGATTGTATGTAAATAAATTATTGGATATGTAAATAAATGTTATAAAATATAATTTATAAATTTACCAAGGATCGATTCCTTCGATATTGACAAGCGCCATTTTGTGTTTGCTAATGCAAATATATCTGTATTATTCCAAAGAATATAATCGTATCATAAATGTGTACTTCAACATCATCCTTTATGAAAATCATTAATTCCTTGATAATTGAAACATTTATGATCACATCCTTTTTGGATAATCACAAACTGAAATAGTGATGACAGTTTTTACATCATATGACGATAATACAACAGTTTTATAAATAAAATAAAACAAAACAATACAAACTTGTGTGATTGCTTTGATGTACAGATAACCTGAAAATTATGAACTATTAAATAGCTTTTATTCGACTAACCGATTCGACGTCATGTTGAGGTGGATAAATATCGATATTACTATCGATTGTTGTCGATAGTTTGGCTTGAGTCAGCTATCGATGTTTCTTCTGCCTATCGATGGTTTGCGATTTTTTTCATTATAAATCAATCAAAAGATTCTCATTCAAAATTTGAGCTTCAAGTTTTAATGAAAATTGTCTAAAATATCATTCGAAAATACTATATATATATATATAATCATTTCTATATATATAATCATTTCTTTGGATACTGAGAATATATATGAAACTAAATGAATTAAATGCAAAAACATTTATATATTTTTTTACATTGATTGATCAATTAAATTTTAAAATCCATTTTTATACGTTCAAAACTGACACGTATAGAGAATAAAGTAATATTCAATTTTTTAATTTAGAAATGTGATAGATCGATTTATCTGTACAGTAAACGTTATTAATATTTTTCAATTTTAAATTGGAGATATTTATATCATCCCAACAAACGAGAATGGATTGAAATGAATTGAAATGGATTCAGATTTTCAGAAATATTGATTCACAAATGTTAAAATGAATGCTTTTCAATTCTGAATGCGTTTTTATTCATTTATAGGAATTGCATGGAGTATATCTCTATGCCTTTCAATCTAAAAATAATATTAGCTTTTTCTGTACAAAAATATACAATTATGAATATTGTTCAATTCAAAATTTTGAATAGAAAAGTTTTTCAACCCAATTGCATCTAATTGAATCTAATTGAATTTAATTAAATCTAAAAAAAAGTATTCGCTATTTAAAATACGCATTCGGATAGAAAAAATTTTAATCCATTCTCGTGGGGATAAAATTTATATCGCTCTAAAATTTATATATTACGATTATTGGATAAAAACACAGAATTTAAGAAAATTTTATTTTACAGCATATATTTCATATCTTTAATTGATTTTTTAAAATATTTTTAATTGACAAATATTTTCGCCTCAGATTCGTGTAATCACAGAATTTCTGTTTCTTTAATTGGTGAATGTAATATCTGCACTCTTGTGGGTGTTCTATTCCCCAAATGATGATATGGGACGATCACTCTCTTATTGTTTATAAAATAGTAATTCAGCTGTTCCATAAATCGTTCGATAAGCGTGCAGTTTCTTTTACAGTACCAATTTTTTTTATGTGTTCCATGTGTGTGTGATTCTGTAGCTTCTGACTCATGAACCTGAATATCTGATATCTGCAAAGAGAACACTGTGAATCAAAGAGAGCACAAAGAATAAAAAAAAATTTAAAAATTAACAAGTAACAAAAAATTAAATCTTAATATACACGATTTGGATCATTCATGTGTTCCTCTGTGCGTTTCTTTTTTATTTTTTAAAATATTAGATTTAGAAGTATTGAATTTGACTAAATATAACGATCTTT